GCATGATGTATTCTGCATATAAATTAAATAAGCTGGGGGACAATATAGAGCCTTGTCGTACTCCTTTCCCAATTTTGAACCAATCAGTTGTTCCATATCCAGTTCTAACTGTTGCTTCCTGCCCCACATATAGATTTCTCAGGCGGTAGATAAGGTGGTCAGGCAGTCCCATTTCTTTAAGGACTTGCCATAGTTCATTTTGGTTGACACAGTCAAAGGCTTTTGCGTAGTCAGTGAAGCAGAAGTAGATGTTTTTCTGGAACTCACTGGCTTTCTCCATAATCCAGCGTATGTTAGCAATTTGGTCTCTAGTTCCTCTGCCCCTTTGAAATCCAGCTTGTACTTCTGTTACTTCAAGTTCCTAGTTCTCCTCTATTTGGCACTGTTTAGACCTCATCTTGAGTACTGTATCCTGGACACCACACTTCAAGATAGATGCTGACAAATTGGAACAAGTTCAAAGGAGGGCAACAAGGATGATCAGGGGACTGGAAACGAAGCCTTACAAGGAAAGAGTGAAAGAATTGGGCATGGTTAACCTTGAGAAAAGAAGATAGAGGGGTGATATGATAACACTTTTCAATTACTTGAAAGGCTGTCTTATAGAGGTGCCAGATCTGTTCTCAGTCATCCCTGAGGGCAGGACACGCAACAATGGGCTCAAGTTACAGGAAACCATATTCCAGTTGAATATCAGGAAAAATGTCCTAACTGTCAGAGCAGTACAGCAGTGGAACGAATGCCCTCAAGAGGTGGTGAGTGTTTCTATACTGGAGGCATTCAAGAGATATTTAGACAGCCACTTAGCAGATATCCTTTGATTTTTATTCCTGTACTGAGCAGGGGATTGGAATCAATGGCCTTATAGGTCCCTTCCAGCTTCATGATTTTCTGACTCTAAGAGGAATCCTGCAATGAAGAACTGGCAGTTCTAGAAAGTGAAGTGAAATATGCTTTGAAAGCACTGGAAGAAATAAATTACCAAATGTAAATGGAATACTGATAAAAGTTTTTCATGCCATAGAGACCAGATCTGTTTATATCCTAACAAGAATATGCCAACAAAAATAGAAAACAAAAGAATGGTCTACATACAAGAAATGTTCAATACTAGGATCATATATTCAAATCTGCAAGAAAAAAATTCTCCAGAGCAAGTGCAGACTTACATAATGTGAGGGGATGTAATATTGCATGTTGAGCTTCAAAAAACAAGATTGAAAGTAATACTGCCAACAGCATGCTGCTCTTCATAAAAATCCATGATGTCAGCCATACTTGCAATACTAGGTACTGTTTTGGTTATCAACTGTTTAAAAAGTAAATTATAGAACCTCCCTGTAAAGGGAAAAAGCTTCATCTAGAGTTATTTGGCACAGAAAAAGAACCTAACAAACTGGAGGACTTATTGGAAGTATATAAAATGTGTGAATAGTGAAAAGAGTGGTATCTTGCTCCATTCCTTACTGAAATCTGGAGACATTCAGCAAAGATAAATGGTGGCAATTACAGATGGATGAAAGGGAACATTTCTTCAAATAGCATATAAATAAACTCTTGAGCTTGCCATCATAAGAAGAAATGATGGGCCATCAGCCTGGATGGCTTTGAATTAAAATGGGCAATTCATGGATGTTAACAGCTGTTTTTTGGGCCATATATTGCCCCCACTATCAAAGCCAATATGCAGCTAATTGGTAAGGAACACAAGTGGGAGTGTGCTGTTCTCTTGTCATGCTTGGGAATTTCTCACCTATCACAGTGAGTGAGTGAGTGACCCTCGCTTCTCCCAGCTCCCACCAGCCTAGTAGTTTGAAAGCAGGCAAAATGCGAGTAGATAAATAGGTACCACCACGGTGGGAAGGTAATGACATTCCATGTCTAGTTACGCTGGCCACATGACCACGGAAAATTGTCTTTGGACAAACACTAGCTCTGTGGGTTGGAAACGGAGATGAGCACTGCCCTGTAGAGTCATACATGACTGAACAAATTGTCAAAGGGAACTGTTAAAAAAAAGCAAAAAAAAAAAAAAGACAAAGTTAGGAAGTTGTTTGAGGACATTCAGCTTCCCCCTTCCTTTAAAAAAAAGTCCTGTGAGTAAGAAGCAAATACTGTTTCACGTAACTCAAGGATCAGGTCATTGCCACCAATGTTCCTTGGGCTGCTTCTTTTTGCAAATACAGTGGTGCCTCGCTTAGCGATTGCCTCATTTAATGATGTATTCGCTTAGCGATGGGTTTTTTTGAGCGATTTTGTGCTCCGTTTAGCGATATTTCCTATGGGGAAATTTCACATAGCGATGTTCGGGACCTTGCCTCGCTTAGCGATGACAGTTTAGGTCCCCCTGTTTCGCTTAACGATGTCCATTTTTGCAATTTTAAGTGTGTCTTAAAATCTTCAAAAACGGTTTTAAATGCTTGGGATCGTTAGTGCACCTTGCAAAACCTGTGCAAACTTAATTTGGCTTTGTTCTGAGTCTTCGTTAATTTTTGGTGAATTTTTTTCTCCCCCATTGGAATGCATTGAACTGTCGGTTTGACAGCTGCTTCCTGGGCTCTTCCTGCAGGTTGTGTTGCTGCCGCTGCTTCTCCTGTTCCCTTCCACTGCTGTGTTTTCAGTTATTTTTAATATTGTACTTTGCTTTTTGAATACATTTCAGTGTGGCACTAGATCCTAAGGGATTGGCAAAGTACAATGAAATAAATCACCAGCGAGGCAGCTGTCAGTAGTTTCCAGTGCTTAAGTGGTGCAGCAATAAAATAGAAGCAGATAGGGAAAAATATTAAGAGTTATAGTTCAGACTAAGACCTGTGATCCTGGCAGACACTACTTGACAAAATCCACAGACACATTTCACTCTAACAAAGGTGTTTGTATATGCCAAAATGATTCAAACTAAATTGTGTTCATAATTGAGTTAAAATAAATAAGCCCCTAGTAGGTGATTTTAAACAAACATGCTTTCCAACAAAACAAAACAAAAACATGCTTTGTGGGCACAAAAAGGTTGCACTTAAATTCATTTCAAGGATGCTAAACCTGAGACAAAATCAGAACCATTATGATCTGTAACTCTTCCCAGAGTTTGGAAAGGAAGCGAATTTCCAGGCAATATTTGGTTCAAGATAGAACTGCAGATACACCAGTTGGCTATTTTTGGAATGAGGTTACATCATACTGTTCTCACAGAGTTCTTGGGGTCAGTTCTGTTATCGACATAATTGATACACTGAAATAGTAACGCAAGACTTTTTTTTCTATCATGGTGTCCTGGTAGGTGGTCTTGAAATAACCTGACTTTGAAATTCATTTCTCTTTTCCAATTAGTGGATGAAAATACTACAGCTAATTATTGAATGAAAACTTGTCCTCCTCCATCATTTATTCTCTAGTATTGGTTGAGTAATGTTTAGAAGAAGATTACTGGTACTGCAGCTGCTTGAAGCCCAGCCGATAGATATTTTGGTGTCTGCAGATAACCAAATTAGTAAATTAGCCACTCTGTGGGATGTGATAAGTAAATACTCCTTTTGGCAGTATTTTATATTTCTATGCCAAATAGCTGATGTTTCTTGGGAGTCATAGTGCTGGACAATCTGATTATTTTGTTTCTGTCTGTTTGAAGCCAATGAGACACAGAAAGAAAGCTGCTGACAAGAACCTTCCATGTCGGCCACTAGTTTGTGCAGTGCTTGGTAAGTCGACTTGGCCAGATTTGGTCAGTAGTTTCTTCAAAGACTGAGTGAGGGAAATTGCTGAACAGAGAATATTTGTTTGCTTGGTAGTACTAGAATGTGTTTGATTTACCATTATGGCATCTGCATGCCTTTCCTCTCACTTCTTCTGGCAAGGTGAAAAATAAATCTTCATAGATAAATCCATCTGACACTGGCTGCAATATAGTGGAACATATGTATTCTGAAGATTTGCAGAGGCTAATGGAGTATCTGCTCTGCCAAGCTTTGTTGGCTGGCTAATGCACTAAAATTTAAAATGGAATAGTTAGTGCTGCCCATAAACAGAATTAAAGGCTGAAGGCTTTAAATAAAACTGGCTGAGCAAATGTGAAGGAATGAATGAAAGGATCCTTTAGGTTTCCATCTGTTTTGTAGTTCTCTGAAGACTGATGAAAAAGGTCAACAAATATTTATAAAGATGGTGTCCAAAGTGTCCACTTTGGAATCCATAGGCCCATGTCTAGAAATAGGAATGAAATATTTCCAAAACTATGATGTCATAAGTCTAGGGTGGTTAAGCATCAAGTGAAAATGTTTAGCTATTGCGGTTTTATCAGTTAGACTGTGCTTTGAAACATGTGCTTTAACTATAAGGAACCCCTCTGCATTTTGATTTAAAATACACCTTTCGCTACAAGTTTCTGAAAATAGTTTCATGTGAAGTTAGTGCAATTCTAGGCATCAAATAGTTTTTGATATGGAGAGTAATCGAAAAGTGGACAGCTTTATGGAAGAGGTGGTGCTTGGAACTTCAGTGATAAATATAGATGCCTTTCAAGGCATGTGTTGCTTACTAGAATATTCCTGGGTTCTTGAAAAAAGAGAGTAACTCCAAACAGAAATGTAGCTACTAAATTAATTGTTGATGGCAATCTTGGTTATAGATCGGTGCTGATTTAAGATTTCTCATCCCTTAATTTTGTGTATAGGATTGTGGACTCTTCCACTCAATCTCCCACTCCCCCGGTTTAAATTGTACTTACTACTTTTAATCATGTCCATGCTGAATAATGATCGTAATTAACATGAGCCAAGATGAATTGATAACCTAACATTTGAAATTAGATTGGTTGTAAGACCTAAATCTTTGTCTTATTAGTCTTTGTTTATCTCTGTAACTTTTATTTCCAGATTTGATGGTTGAGTTCATTATAACACATATGATGAAGGAATTTCCCATGGACCTTTATGTGTAAGTAAGAGTTTGCTAACTAGGGCCCTGATCTGAGATGTTAACCAACAATCAAATCATCTTTCCGATTCATGACTAAAATTACAATTTTTGGGCAAGAGAGGACAGTATGGCCATTTCGCTTTCCAGAAACTTGTAACTGTCATGCTTTTGCTCAGTGTGCCAAGAAATTAAAAATGGAATCAATGCCATTTTTTTCCAAGGGCTTTCTTAAATTACTTATTCAGCAGAATAAGCAATTTAAGTAATTTCAAAAACCTTAAGACTGAAAGTATTTCAAGGCACCAGCCAAATACAAAGCAGAAGAACTCAACTACTCAAAAATGAAGTGTCTGGTGGTGATGTAGTTGTCAGTAGGAATGATTATTTACTGAATTGTTACGTATAGGTGTGTTCTATTTTTTCATTTTTTTTTCCTTAAAAGGAGTAGGGAATACAGTAAGGAAAATGATTAGAAAAGGAAATTTTGATCCTTTTTTTGATGTCATATAATTGCATACAACATTTATAACAAAAAAAGAGAAACAAATAAGACAAATTGTACAGTATTATAGCCATAATATTTGAAAATGCTTCTCTGCTTTTTTGTTTTCACCTTCTTAGTTATATTATTGCAGTTTATGTTACTCTGATTACTCAACTTAAAAGCCCAGAATATAATATCAGCTTTTCTAATATGTTTACTGTGCTCTTTTGTCATGCCCATATCCATAATATATTGAAAAAATTACAAAATATTACACATATTGGATTCAAATTGAATTTGTCATAAACATTGACTATTCATTTCTATCTAATAGTTAGAAAAACATTTAAAATGCAAGCAAAACAGAACAACAACAGCAAGAAAAGTAATGTTGAAGATAACAGTGCTGTCTCCACTTACGACCATAATCTGTTCCAGAAGATGGATGTAACTCGAAATGATCGTAAGTCGAAGCACCATTTCACATAGGAATGCATTGAAATGCAATTAATCTGCTGTGGCTGAAGGAAAAAATCATCCCACCCTCAAAAAATAACTGCAAGACTCATTGGAAACACGATTAATCCCTTCTGGCTAAAGTGGGGGGGGGGGAGAGAAAAGCAATCAAGTGTGCAAGACCCGTTGGAAATGCACAGAAAACAAACGGAGCAGATTGGAAATGCACAGAGAACAAAGGGGGCAAGTCGGAAGTGCAAAGAAAACAAAGGAAAAAGCAAGAGAAGCATGCAGTACCCATGGGAAATGGGGAAAAAAACCCAAAAGCAACCAACCCCCCCCCCCAAGACCCATCAGAAATGGGGATGGAAGCCAACAAACAAACAACCCCCCAAGACCTATCAGAAATGGGAAAAAACACTCCAAAAAGCAACCAAAAAGTCCCAAGACCCATCAGAAATGGGAGGGAAAAAAACAAGAAAATAAACAAACCACTCAAAGACCCATCACAGCACAGAAACATAACCCCCCAGCTCAAAACCACACTGCAAAAACACCCAGAACAGTTTTTAAAAAGCAGAAAACAGCACCTTACCTTACAAGGCAGCCCGAAGCCTCCCTGCAAAGACACACACACACTCTCAGAAGCAGAAGGAGGCAGTCTCAAGCCGCCCCCGATGACGCACGCACTCTAACTCCTGGGGCGAAAGAGCTACAAAGAAGCAGCTTTGTTACCACCTACAGTTAGCAATTTGAATTTCCCTCCTTTTCCCCTGCCTTTTTCTGTTTGTAAGTGGAAGCTCTGGTCGCAAGTAGAAGCAGAATTTTGTGGCTGGAGCTGGTCATAACTTTAAATGGTAGTAAATAGGGACGTTCGTAAGTCGAGGCACCATTGTACTAAGTATACATTTTTCCAAAGCTACAGTGCTTTATGTTTTGGGAGGCAAGTCTTAGAACATGCTGATTCTGGGTTTCTGTACCTAATAAGGCTTTAATAAAGTGATACATTACTGTACCAATTGATGCATATTATGACCAATAAGTAAGGAAAAAATTACTTTAGAATTGATGATAAACTTACAAGGATAAATTAAATCATATCAAGAAATTAAAGAAGGGAAGAACATACAATGGTTAACTTACTTTTAGATTGCTTCTAGATTGAAAGAAGATTTAAGTACCAGAAAAGGAGACATAAAAATCTTGACAGAATTTGAAAAGACTGCCCTACAGCATGAAGATCACCTACTTTGATAAATCTATAAATTATTGTTCCAGTTTGATACTGAGGAAGAACAAGTAAAAATATGTATAATGAAATGGATGCAAAACCGCAACAAAGAAACATTGCTACAATGTTGGGAAAATCTATGGACAAAGGGCATCAAATTTACAGGTTGTCAAACTCTAAGGGAAAATTGTTAGGAGATGTTCTACCAGTAGTATATTACCCTAAAAGATATTGAAAAGATGGTAAAAAGATACAAAAAGGCTTGCTGGAAGTATAAAATGACAGATGGCAGTTTATACCATATGTAATGGACTTGTATAAAGATGAAGAGCTATTGGATACCGGTACATGTGGAAATCAATTTTTTTGTACATTTGAAAACTTTCCGAGTACCTTTGCAATCAAATGGAAGACAGAAGAATATCCAACAATAGAGAGCTGGAAAGAAAAATTATCTGAGTATGCAATAATGGCAAAGTTAATAAACTCTGTAAATAAAATACCATCCAAAAATACAAGCAAAAATGGCAAGGCTATTATTTATACCATGGAAATAATTGCCTTTACAAAAAGAGAAAATATGGAGAACTCAGATTCTAATTCTATAATTAAAATATGGTTGGGGTGATTCCTTTGCCTATGCAAAGAGTTAAAAATATAAGGTTTACAGCATGAGCAACCTCTGAAGGACCTAACCTAGAGTCAGAGCCTAGAGGCTGCTATTTTGTAGAATAATTAATGTGTAGCATCAATTCCAAAGTCACAGTGCCAGTGCAGATATTAACCCCCACCAGCCTTTATGTATTGTGAAGCATTAGCAGTCTTTAAAAAGTCAACAAAAGCTTACCCGTTTTGTTTAAAATGGCAAGGTTTTTCTTATATAATTATGTGATAGATCAAACTTAATGTGATTGTACATACAGCATTAAGTGTTGCTCAGTAGGCAGTAATGCTGTAGATGCAGACAAGATATTCTCTCAAATTGCATTGTTATTTTTTCCAAACTTGGAACATCTTAGTATACTGAAGTTGAGTGCAGCTTGCGTAGAAACTATTGGCTTTCAAAATCACACTGGCACTTAGAAACCAAGATAAATGCTTGTAGTTTCCCAGTAAAATTTTGATGCAGTCACCCGGTCAAAGAAATCATGTGCCTTTCCAGTGAGTGTAAGGTATCCAGTGGCCAATATCCTTTTGTATATCTCTGCCTGTGCAACAAGAATTACATTACTAGTGGCAGCAGATTGCCAGTGATTAATGACATCCTTTTTCAGTTTTGGAGTACACATGGCTCACACACAATGAGATTCAGCTTTTGTGTACTCTGAAATGGAAAAAGGAAGTATTTAATCAGTGGCAAGCTGCTGTTGCTGCTGCAGATGTAATTCCTGTTGTACAGGCAGAACTTGCCCAATAGGATTTTGGCCATTGTTTTCAACACTGTTAGTCACATCTCTGCATGGAGTCTTTTGATATAGCTGTCCTGTACAGCTGGCTCTTGGAAGTTTGCCATTGCGCTCCTATACTGTGCACAGCAGTTGCATGTGGCTTATTATTTCGGGCCTTTAAATCTTTTTTTGTAGACGCTGCATTCAAATAGTACACAAGCTGCTTTGCTATCAGAAGAAATGCAGAGTGAGGCTTCATTATACTTGGAGGGAGCTCTGGTCAGGTAAATTCTTGATCTTGCTTCTTTTTCCAGCACTGGTATATCTTTCTTACTCATTCACATAATGCAAATACTTCTTGATTCATGATTGCAGTTGGATGTATCAGAAATCTGCCTCTCCTCAGGCTGTCGTGACTCCTACTGAAGGCAGAGCTTTCAGTCTCAGATTCCAAAATGTGTGTATTGACAGTATGGTGGTGATGGGCAAGGAGGGAGGAAGTGTTTATTCACTGGGTCCACCTATCTGCTCCCCACCGAGGCAGAGGGAAACATGGATAGACATCAGGGCATGTCTTATCTCCCTGTCATTGCTTAGAGTGGCAGGAAATTTTCTCTGAAAAATATCAGAGAAACAAACCTCAAGGAGAGGAAAAAGAATGAAAAAGCAGTTCAACCAGTACCCCTGTCCTTTCTCAATTTCTCCCACAGTAACAAGAATCAAACAGAGCTTTGGATGAAATGGAGCCTTCAGAGTTGCCTCTGTCTTTCAGGCTGCTTGTCTTTCAGATTTTTCTCTTAACTTCCTTAAATATATACAGTCTATCAATACCATCATGCAGTGGGGTTGTTTCACTAGAAGGTTTAATGTATGAAAGTGAGAAAAGGAGATGTAGTTTTACAGTGCATCTGTTTGAATTATTTTGTTATCTCCATATAAGGGGAGAAATACAGAGAAACTTTGAAGTTTTCTGTTTATATCACATTTATATTTTAGACTGGAACTAGGTATAACAATGAAGATGGAACTACCATTTTTAGAGGGAGCTCTATGCTGGGGCCAGCCCTCTCTCTATCCCTGTATGTGGAGTCACTTTTAATCTGTGTTCTTCTCCTCCTTATTGGTTAACGTTGAAGAATGTCCAGGTATGTCCAGTGTGGTGTAGTGAATAGAGTGGCAGACTAGGGCTCAGGAAGCCTGGGTTCAAATTGCCCCGCAACCATGGAAGCTGACTGGAACAGTTGCACTGGTGAAACCACTCCTTAACTATCTCACTTACCTTGAAAAACCCTATTAGGGTTGCTGTAAGTTGGTTCTGACTTGATAAGAAACAATAACAATATTTTGGCCATTATGCCTTATTCTGCCTGGATAATATGAGTTTGGACATAATAACAATTAACAGTTAGGCACTGAGTTTGTATTTGGCTTCTACAGGTGAAGCAGGTTGAGCATATAGCTTTATCTAACCTCTCATTCTATGCTTGTTCTGTGTCTGAAAGCAGGAGAGACTGCTAACATTTGAGTACAATAAACCACTATGTCACCACAGAAGCATACTGTGGCTTCATAAAGAAGATTTTTTAGAATAGACCCAGTGCTCTGTCATGACAAGGGGACTGTGACTCGCAGCATGTTTTATTCAGTGAAATTCTTCAGAGTGTCATTGGAATGCTGTATTGAAAAGTTCTGAAAATGGTGCTCTGTTAGTTGGCTTCTGGTCTCTCTCCTCAGTAGCTAAATGCAGGTAGATGAAAGTACTGCCATTATCCTCTCTACATTGTGTTGCCTTTATACCATGTGGCACTTTGGGTTTTTTTAAAAGGTATCTATGTAGGGGGTGTTAAATAGGTCTGGTAAGGAATTATCAAGATGGAGGGACTAGATAGATGGAAGCTCTTTTCCCTTTCACACAATAATAGAACCAGGAGACATCCACTCAAATTGAGTATTGGGAGAGTGAGAACAGACAAAGTGTGTTGTTAGTCTGTGGAACTCCTTGCCACAGAATGTGGTGATGGCATCTGGCCTAGATGCCTTTAAAAGGGAATTGAACCGATTCCTGGAGGAAAGGTCCATCACAGGTTACAAGCCATGATCTCCAGGCTTAAAAGGAAGGTACCTCAAGATGCCAGATGCAGGGGAGGGGCATCAGGAGACAGGCATCTAGTTGTCTCGTGTGCTCCCAGAGGCATCTGGTGAGATACAGGAAGCTGGACTACATGGGCCCTTGGCGTAATCCAGCAGGGCTCTTATAATAAGACTTTGTCCTTTTTTGTTTTCTAGAGCGGAGCCTAAAACTAGATGTTATGGGAGCTTCATAACTACTGATTTAAACTTTGTTCCTTTTTTATCTGGATGGATAGAGGAGTAGCACTTGGTACAAAGAGAAGTGCAATAATATCACACAGCAAATTTTACTTTTCTCCAGGTTACTAAAGTTTGTAGAATAGTGGTTCCCAGTCTTGGGTAACCCATGCATTCTTGGACTGCACTTCCCAGATGTCTTCACCACTCTGCTGGGCAGGGTTTTCGGAAGATGCAGTCCAAGAATTCCTGGGTTACTCAAGGATGGGAACCATGAACATAGGAGATACAGGGCTGCTGCTTTTAATAGTAGTCTTGCAGTTTCTCTAACACTAGAGGAGAGGGGTTGTGACTTTCCAGATGTTCTTGGATGCCAGGTGCTGTCAGCCCAAAACAGGATAGCTTGTAATCAGAGAGGAACTATAGCTTGGCAACACTGAAATGGTTGTATAGGCATAGGTTCCCCTTCCCTGATTTAATTAGACATGGTTTGAAACTCAGAGGGGAATGTTCATTACAACTGTGTGAAGCATATGGAATTGCGCAGTTGTAAAATAGTTATAGGGATTGTCCTAAACAACTGGTTAAGGCCTTTTCATCTCTCTTTTTTTTAAATTCCTAGCATTTAGCTTGATTTTTGAAGAATGCTGGCTTTGAACATTGTCAAGCCACCCCCATGCTTTGAATTGTTACTGCACTCATACTAATCACAAAGTATGACTGGTGATGGCTTTTGTCATGGACATTTGCATGACTAACACCAAAACGTTTACAAATGCAGGAGTAGATTATACCTTTAATCGACCATTAAGAATATAAAACAAAACAAAACAAATAATAAACTTTCGATAATAAATCTTCTTCTTCAAGGCTGTGCATCTCCTGGGTAGTTCCAGACTGATGTGCTGTTTTTAATGTCCCCAAAATAGGCATAAATTAATGTCCCCAAAATAACCAGAAATAATGTCTGCAAAATAGCCATATACAGTGGTGCCTCGCTTAGTGACGTTAATCCATGCAGCAAAAATCGCTGCTAAGCGATTTTCAAAAGCCCATAGAAATGCATTGAAACCTTCAATGCGTTCCTATGGGCTCCAAAACTCACCTTAAGCAAAAATCCTCCATTGCAGCGGCCATTTTCAGTGCCTCTAAAGCGAGGCAAAACAGCGGGCGGCCATTTTGGAACCGCCGATCAGCTGTGTGAAAATGGGGGCTTTGCAATGATCACTGGGAAGCGATCAGGCCATTTTGGAACTGCTGATCAGCTGTGCGAAAATGGGGGCTTTGCGATGATTGCGGGGACCCGCGATCATTGCAAAGCCCCGCCGATCAGCTGGCCGTTACATTCCCCCTAAGGGACAGGGTCTGCAGCCTGGGGGTGCTCTTGGGGGTGCTCTAGAAGCCCAGGTGGACTCAGTAGCCAGGGGCGCCTTCCTTCAGCTGTGGAAATTATACCAGTGACGGCCCTACCTGGAGAGCGGAGTCTCATGACAGTTACACACACACTGGTAACACCTCGTATAGATTACTGCAATGCGCTCTATGTGGCGCTGCCTTTGAAAACTGTCTGGCGACTGCAACTGGTCCAGATTCAAGCTGTACAGCTGGTGAATGATGGGGCCGCTGGGGGACACACCAAGCCAATTCTGTTTAACTTACATTGGCTACCAGTTGCTGCCCGGGATGAATTCAGAGTGCTTGTTTTGACATATAAAGCCCCAAACAGCTTAGGCCCTGGATACCTGAAGGACCGCCTCCTTCCATATGAGCCTACCCGGCAGTTAAGATCTAGCCAGGGGGCCCTTTTGAAAGAGCCGTCCCTCAAGGAGGTAAGAGGGATGGCTTGTAGACAAAGGGCCTTTTCAGCAGCTGCCCCCAGACTATGGAACACTATCCCAAGATTCGGCTGACGCTGACGCTGATGACATTTTGGCGCCAGGTCAAAACCTTCCTGTTCCACAAGGCTTTTGATTGAAATAATATCAATTGTGGGTCCTGATGGCAATTTTTAGAGTATATATTTTAATTGTATTATAATTGTTTATCTTTTTGTTGTATTTTAATTGTTGTAAGCTGCCCAGAGATCTTTGGTAGAGTGGGTGGCATATAAGTTAAATAAATAAACAAATAAATAAATAAGAACTTGATGCACAGCCTTGAAGATGATTTATCATCAAAAGCTCACTGTTTGTTTGTTTTTAAAATATTCTTAAGTGTTGATTAAAGTTATCACCTACTTTTGCATTTGCATTGTTTCCATGACCATGCGGCCTTATCCCGATTTTACCAGAATATTTACTAGCTCTTATAAGTTTACTGAAAGTATGCAAGTGAGTTCCCATGGCCTATTTCTCATTTCCTTTATACTATACTCACATTAGCTGCAGGTAGCCCTTCGACTTTATTTTATGGCTGCTGCACATGGTTGCCTGTTTTGCTTTAATGGGCACTAAAATTACATCATAGAGCATTTCCAGGGACTGGACACCTGTGAGATGCTCTGCCTTCTGGTCCTACATGGCTTTAAGGTATACAGGCAAAGCTTTGATATTGCATTTGTCTTTGCATTCTTCTTTTCCGTTTCCTCCTAATTTACGCTTTTCTCTTGATTTGATATGTATGTATAGAGAGGGGGGTATGGATGGTGATTAAGTATGGCTAAGCGTCATACAAATACCATTTTTTTAAAATTAGGAGGCACAACAGAGTTTAGAATTCACAATAAGCAAGGTTTTCTGGCTGTGTGAAGTACATTACAGTGGGGTCTCTACTTAAGAACGTCCCTACTTAAGAACAATTCCACTTAAGAACAGCTCCATTTGCTAAATTTTGCTTCTACTTGAGAACAAAAATCCAGATAAGAACAGGAAAAAAAACTTTCCTGCTGTTTTTTTAACCTTAGGTCATCTTAGGTTAAAAAAAAGTTCTCCCTCTAGTGGTAGAGTACATATTAACCAGCTTTGCATTAGTTCCTATG